ATCACTTTGTCCACCATTCTTTGGATGAGAACAAAATAGCTATTTAACACCCCACAGCCAGGCTGCATAATACTTTAAAACAAAGAAAAATTCTGTATGCAACTGAAACTGTGAGGGGAATGCCCGTAGGAAGATATAATTATTGAAGTAGAAATTAGGAAAGGAGAATGGGGAATAACAGCTCCTTGCCAAAAGTATTATGGGATCTTTAATGACCATAATGGTCAGGACCTTGATTTTGCCTCCTTCTTAACTGCATCGAATTGTCCCTTACTGGGAAATTGGTTAAATATTGACTCAAAAGACAGCCACTTTCCAAATAACTAGCACCTCTACTTGCAGACCCTAGAATCCTCCCTTCCCAGGTACTGACCTAGCTTCCTCAGATAAATTCAGGACCGTGATGAATCCCTCAACCCTAAGTTAACATGTGAATTGGACATAAACTTTGGCAAAAAGGAGATATCTAGCTTAATATTGATAGTTCTCCTAAGAACTCAGGGCACTGGAAGATGCTTAAGACAATAAAATTGCTCCACTAGCCAAACATTTCTAAAGCTCCAGCTGTTAATACAGAGTGATTCGTACAGGGGGAAAGCTTCCCCGAAATAGAGTGCTGATGCAGGTTTGCTCACATGCAGCATGTCTGCGAGTTGGGTAGGATATTCCCCCAGACTCAATCTCTGACAGAGGTGATTTCTGGTAGGAAATCTATTTTCCAGGAAGGAAATGGTCCCTATATTCTCCCTTAAGGCTCAAGGTTTTACAAGGGCCTTTAAATCTACTCCCAGGTCCTATCAAGGGGCAATTATCCTTGGCTACTTAGGGCAATTATCCAGGTCTGCACTGTTATAAGCATGCGGCTATTTGCACGTGGGCTGAAGCAGAGCTGCCAGCGTCAGCACTCCTGAAATGGAGTGGTTATGTAACACAGAACAATGGCAAGAGAGTCACTCTAGGATCTTCCTCTCTGTGCACATTTTTAGAAAACTTCTGCAGTTTGCTGTAATAAATTTTGTGACTCCTTGGGTGCAGCCTACACAACCCTTGTAACCTTAACTGTGCTGGATTGTTAAAGGTAGGGTAACCAGACAGCAAGTGTGAAAAATCAGGATGGGGGTGGGGGTAATAGGAGCCTATATAAGAAAAAGACCCAAAAAAACAGGACTGTCTCTATAAAATTGGAACATCTCGCCACCCTAGTTAAAGGTGAATCACTTTCTGCTGTTTTCCCTGTAATGACCCTGGAATAAATACCAGCTCTGGTGTAAAACCCGGTGCGATGACAATCCAGTCTAAATTTTACATTAGTGTAACTGAAAGCAGGATTAGACCCACCGTGTTAAAACAGTACTGCCAGGCCAGCCCAATGACACATTTTTCTTGGGATTTTTCCTGGCAATATCATTGTTCTAAATGGGACAAAGATTCTCTTTCACTGAGCACATGTCTTACTCCTGCCATAGCTTGTCACTGCTTCTCTTGGGCCAAACAGCCTTCCCCTTTACTGAAGAGTTTCTGTTACCTGTCTCCCATGGAGTCTGACTTCCCCAGGACCTGAACACATTCTTTTTAACTCCAGCTCCCATTACAGTAAGGAATTTCCAGTGGCAGGGTTCTGCACGGTACCATTGCGTTAGAACCAGCTGAATGGTGAACTCGGGCAGAGTGAAACGCCACGTACTGTGAACAGGAGTCAAAGCCCCAAATTGTTTCAATGCAAATCACAATTCTCGTATGAGAAACTTGTATACAGAAGCTCTTCTGGGAACAAAGGGCCAGATTTAAAAAAACCCAAAACATTTAGATGCCTAATTTCCATTGATTTTGATGGGAGTTAGGCACAAAATACCTTCAAAAATATGGCCCAAACTGACTCTTGGTTTAGACACATGCACAGATGAATATTTAAAGGCTAGACTGAAATTAGCCCTGTACTGGCGTGTGAGGAAAGGTGAAAATAAACCACTTTATTTACCCCAAGAGAACATAAGAACAGCCATACTGGGTCAGACCAATGGTCCATGTAGGCCAGTATCCTGTCCTCTGACAGTGGCCAATACCAGGTGCTTCAGAGGGAATAAACAGAACAGGCAATTATTGAGCGATCCATCCTCTGTTAACTACTCCCAATTTCTGGCAATTAGAGGCTAGAGACGTCCTGAGCATGGGATTGCATCCCTGACCAGTGTGGTTAATAGCCATAGATAGATCTATCCTCCAGAAACTTATCTAATTCTTTTTTGAACCCTGTTATAGTTTTGGCCTTTACAACATCCCCTGGCAATGAGTTCCACAGGTTGACTGTGTGTTGTATGAAAAAATACTTCCTTTTGTTTGTTTGAAACCTGCTGCCTATTAATTTCATTGGGTGACTGGGGTTTTTGTGTTATGTGAAGGAGTAAATAACATCTCCTTATGTGCGTTCTCCACACCATTCATGTTACTATAGACCTCTATCTTATCCCCCCTTAGTCACCTCTTTTCCAGGCCGAAAAGTCCCAGTCTTTTTAATCTCTCCTCATATGGAATTTATTTGATACTCCTAATAATTTTTGTTGTCCTTCTTTGTACCCTTTCCAATTCTAATATATCTTTTTTGAGATGGGGCAACCAGATCTGCATGCAGTATTCAGGGTGTGAGTGTACCATGGATTCATATAGTGGCATTATGATATTGTCTGTCTTATCCATCCCTGTCCTAATGGTTCCTAACATTCTGTTCGCTTTTTGACTGCCGCTGCACGTTGAGTGGATGTTTTCAGAGAACTATCCACCAATGACTCCAGAATCTCTTTCTTGAGAGATAACAGCTAATTTAGACCCCATCATTTTATATGTATAGTTGGGATTATGTTTTCCAATGTGCATTACTTTGCATTTATTAACACTGAATTCCATCTGCCATTTTGTTTCCCAGTCACTGAATTTTGTGAGCTCCCTTTGTAACTCTTCGCAGTTTGCTTTGTGCTTTGGACTTAACTATCTCAAGTAGTTTTTTACAGTCTGCAAATTTTGCCATCTTACTGTTTTACCCCTTTTTCCAGATCATTTATGAGCACTAATGCTATCCTTCCTGTAGGAGACAGGGCTCTGGCACCCCACGCCAGCACATTGTGCTCCCTGAAAGGGTGAAGCAGGGGCCAGTGTGGCCCATGCTCCCTCAGTGCTTTTGGAGGTCAGTGTGACTGCCTGAGACACAATTCCCCTGGGAGATCTCGCAGGGGTGGTGTAGGTCTCACTGCTGCTAATAGGGACTGCAGAGCAACAAGCCTTTAGTGTGAGGGACTGAACACCTTTTCCCAGTTATCTTGCTGTACAGAGTAGAAACTGATTTTTCAAGTAACAGGTTTAAAGACCACGGGTGAGATCTATCACTCTGGCTACTTTGCACCATCCCAACAATGCAGCAGGAAAGCTGGCAGATTTAGCCCCGAGGATCCCCCTGCATGGAGCCACTGTCGTAGTGCCTATGCCACCCTCCCTCGGGCTCTTGGTACAGGAGGTATCTTCAAGCGAGTGATCTCCAGCTGTCCCATCCCATGAAGCGAGACAAAAGCTCGTGCTCAAATAAACTGGTTAGTCTCTAAGCTGCCACAAGTACTCCTTTTCTTTTTGCAGATAAGGGACGGCACTTATCACAGGATAAACACAGCACTCACCTTTTGCTTCTCCAGGCTACATCTGTTGCCTTGTTGGCTGACAAGGTAATCAACAGTTCCTTTGAAATGAATAACCCAATGAGTCACCACATAAGAAGTGAACACCTCAGACCATGGAATCTCAGACTACATTCCCACAGAGCCAGAGTCTGATCACTCTCTTTTTGATGTTATGTTTATGGGCTCCATTTGCTCTGGCCTGGATTACCTCCGAGATTTTTTGGCCCTCTCTCCAAGAAACGACAATTTTTTTCCACAGAAGCTAGGATTATGCTTGGATATATTTACCATATTTTTACACATATGGTGTGGCTAACTTTATTGGTGCCTTGTGTCAGCTGTAAATAGAAAGAACTAATACAGTAGTATTTGGTTTCATCTGAGGGAATAAGCGGCCTTTGTTCTACAGCTTGTACTCTTTGTATGGGGCTCTGTGTCTCCCCTCCCCCCCATCTTTCTAAGGGGACAATTTGGTCCATTTACCATACCAGATGTACAAAGGCATTTTAAATATTCGATCAGAAGCCCGGTCCCTGTGAAGTCGATAATCACAGGGTTGGCCTTTTTTAAAAAAAAAGCTGTACTGTTCTTGTTAATACGATAAAACAAGACACGTGCAAAACGCAGTCTGCATTTCACAGTCTGGGTCCTGGCCCGGACTGTGGTTAACAGAGCTTTTTGCTGAGTGACAACAAAACAAATTATGCAGTCTCCCTTATGCCTCAAATTTAATATCTCATCTCCAGCCCTCTAATTCAAACCTTCACACTGTTCCAGAGTTTCCTTTGTAATGAGATAACTCTGAACATTAACTTTGCATTACGCTGAGCTATTATTCTCATGCCTGACTCATTATGTATGGAACTGGAATCAATAAAACGTGGACTGAGAGGGACTGGGTGGCTTGGGGGGCATGTGGATCAGCTAGTTAAGCCTCTAGGTTGGTTCTTCACATCCATCCCAGGTGAGTAAGGACCCTTGGTGGCAGTCTCAGGAGAGAGGCCATGTTTCAAACAGACGGGGAAACTCATCGCTCTGTGTCATGGCTCAGGCACAAAGGTGGAGATGGGGTGGAGGGAAGCCTGCACTGCCACTGACTGTGCTGTGCCTATTCTGAGAATAAACAAACCTCAGACTCTTGCACCCAATTCATTCAATTTAAATTCATATAAAATATGGCAGAATTAGTCTGGCAAAGTTCACTATCCATTCTCCATCAGCTGACAAGAACAAGGATCTTTTGCACCCTAGAGTCCTCCCAGCTGGCTCTGGGCCTTGCTAAGAGAAGCAGTGTAAGGCTCCGTGAAGCCTGATAAATCACATACACTCTCGTCCTACCTCCATCGTTGTCTTTTCCATCGCCGCATGCTGTCTCCATGGAAGTATCACAGCCCGCTCCTCTCCAGCCCAGCTGGCAGACACAGTGCCAGCCATTCATGTCCAGAGTGCATCTGCCATTGCCATGACACAGTCCAGGGCACCCCTCTGCAAGGCAAACAGTCACACATTCTAATGCACTGGAAGTTGTTAGGAGGACTAGGGACATAGAAAGACGACTTGGAAACGGGGCTGGGGAACCTCTTAAAACAGCTTTTTTCCTTTGCCTTCTACTTATCTCTTCTTTCCCATTGATAAGGTTTCCTGCCTCTTTTGCCATCCAGAATCAATGGGGACAGTAGAATAAGAGAAGGGCATTACATTCATTGTACAAGTACTTCAAGCTTTGGTGACTACAACTCACGGCTCATAGATTCATAAACATTAGATTCATAGATATTATAGGCACCCCACCTCTACTGCAAAGATGGATTTCTGGGGTGGGGATGCAGTCTGCTTTCCTGATTCTTTAGCAGCGCATGCAGCAATCCACCCTACACTTTGGGTTGCTTTGCAAGAGCAGGACTTGGAGTAACCCAAATCCATGGCAGGTTAGAGTTCTCAGCACCGCCTGGGAGGCAGTGGGCTCTGGAAGGTACAGCAGAGCAAGGAAAGAACCTAGGTCTCCTGAGCCCCACTTTAGTGTCCTCTCCAATGGGCCACTCTGCTTCTACATATGTATGCATATATATATATATATATGTACATATCTGTCTGTGAAGAGAGACTACACGATGGTGAGATTTACTATGAAGAGTTTATCGACATGACTTTGGGATGACTGCATTGTTCCCAAGAGGCAGGGCCATGAGTGAGTTATGTAAGTCATCCCATACAAGTGCTGGTAGAGCATTCCTACCACACCACACCCTCATGTACTCTGCACAGGTTCCAGAAGCACCATTTCAGTTTGTAATATCTGTTTAATAGAGATTTAAACACTTTTACTGACACTATTTTTTCTATCCATCTGCTTTCAAAGGCAGTTACCTTACTTTGCATGGGTCCAACTGAACAAGCATCAGAGGGAGCCAGGAAAACCTCTTTAAAAATGACCTTTTTACATTTACACACACACACACACACACACAGTATGTCACACCTCTAAAGCATGTGTGTGTGTATGTGTGTATGTTATTATAGCCAGAACTGGCAGCTCTGCCTACAGTCAAGGCTGCTTGACATGTCCCATTATGTAGCCCTGTCTTCAGCAGCTTGTAACTTTACCAAACTTTAGACATTTGAGCTGAAATTTTCCATGCTCAATGTCTGTGCTCAATGTCTGTCTCAGACTGATTTTTTTTTAAAGTTTCAGCTAAAAAGGTTCAGCAATTTCCAAGGACAAGATTAGCAGCAAAATATGTCGTTTGTCCATGTAAATATGGAGTGGAAATCTATCAACTGCATGAAAAAACTTGTACAGATACAGACAGACATCATCTTCCTTTCCAAATGCAAACAGATGGACATCGTACCAAAAAGACTGAAGGTAAAAAATCCATTACAATCTACATACCACACAGACTATGCTGACAGCTTGTGCCACATGCTCTCAAAGAAACTGCGAAATCACCTGATCAAAATCCTCTACAGCAAACAGGGAAAGATTAAGAATGAGCTCTCAAAAATGGATACTCTCATAAAAAACCAACCTTCCACACAAACTTCCTCATGGCTGGACTTTACTAAAACTAGACAAGCCATTTACAACACACACTTTGCTTCTCTACAAAAGAAAAAGGACACTAAACTTTCTAAACTACTACATGCCACAAGGGGCCACAGCAATGGTTCCCTCAACCCACCCAGCAATATTGTTAACCTATCCAACTATACTCTCAGCCCAGCAGAAGCAGCTGTCCCATCTCGGGGCCTCTCCTTCTGCCCCTCCACCCCCACGAACATGATACAGTTCTGTGGTGACCTAGAATCCTATTTTCGACGTCTCCGACTCAAGGAATATTTCCAACATACCTCTGAACAACATACTAATCCACAGAGACCTCCCTACCAACACTACAAAAAGAAGAATTCTAGGTGGACTCCTCCTGAAGGTCGAAACAGCAGACTGGACTTCTACACAGAGTGCTTCCGCCGACATGCATGGGCTGAAATTGTGGAAAAGCAGCATCCCTTGCCCCATAACCTCAGCCGTGCGGAACACAATGCCATCCACAGCCTCAGAAACAACTCTGACATCATAATCAAAAAGGCTGACAAAGGAGGTGCTGTTGTCTTCATGAATAGGTCAGAATATGAACAAGAGGCTGCTCGGTAGCTCTCCAACACCACTTTCTACAAGCCATTACCCTCTGATCCCACTGAGAGTTACCAAAAGAAACTACAGCATTTGCTCAAGAAACTCCCTGAAAAAGCACAAGATCAAATCCGCACAGACACACCCCTGGAACCCTGACCTGGGATATTCTATCTACTACCCAAGATCCATAAACCTGGAAATCCTGGGCGCCCCATCATCTCAGGCATTGGCACCCTGACAGCAGGATTGTCTGGCTATGTAGACTCCCTCCTCAGGCCCTACGCTACCAGCACTCCCAGCTACCTTCGAGACACCACTGACTTCCTGAGGAAACTACAATCCATCAGTGATCTTCCTAATAACACCATCCTGGCCACTATGGATGTAGAAGCCCTCTACACCAACATTCCACACAAAGATGGACTACAAGCCGTCAAGAACACTATCCCCGATAATGTCACAGCTAACCTGGTGGCTGAACTTTGTGACTTTGTCCTTACTCATAACTGTTTTACATTTGGGGACAAGGTATTCCTTCAGACCAGCGGCACTGCTATGGGTACCCGCATGGCCCCACAGTATGCCAACATTTTTATGGCTGACTTAGAACAACGCTTCCTCAGCTCTCGTCCCCTAACGCCCCTACTCTACTTGCGCTATATTGACGACATCTTCAACATCTGGACCCATGGAAAGGAAGCCCTTGAGGAATTCCACCATGATTTCAACAATTTCCATCCCACCATCAACCTCAGCCTGGTCCAGTCCACACAAGAGATCCACTTCCTGGACACTACAGTGCTAATAAACGATGGTCACATAAACACCACCCTATACCGGAAACCTACTGACCGCTATTCCTACCTACATGCCTCCAGCTTTCACCCTGACCACACCACATGATCCATCGTCTACAGCCAAGCTCTGCGATACAACCGCATTTGCTCCAACCCCTCAGATAGAGACAAACACCTACAAGATCTCTATCAAGCATTCTTACAACTACAATACCCACCTGCGGAAGTGAAGAAACAGATTGATAGAGCCAGAAGAGTTCCCAGAAGTCACCTACTACAGGACAGGCCTAACAAAGAAAATAACAGAACGCCACTAGCCGTCACCTTCAGCCCCCAACTAAAACCCCTCCAACGCATTATTAAGGATCTACAACCTATCCTGAAGGATGACCCAACACTCTCACAAATCTTGGGAGACAGGCCAGTCCTTGCCTACAGACAGCCCCCCAACCTGAAGCAAATACTCACCACCAACCACATACCACACAACAGAACCACTAACCCAGGAACCTATCCTTGCAACAAAGCCTGTTGCCAACTGTGCCCACATATCTATTCAGGGGACACCATCACAGGGCCTAATCACATCAGTCACTCCATCAGAGGCTCGTTCACCTGCACATCCACCAATGTGATATATGCCATCATGTGCCAGCAATGCCCCTCTGCCATGTACATTGGTCAAACTGGACAGTCTCTACGTAAAAGAATAAATGGACACAAATCAGATGTCAAGAATTATAACATTCATAAACCAGTCGGAGAACATTTCAATCTCTCTGGTCACTCGATTACAGACATGAAAGTTGCAATTATTCAACAAAAAAACTTCAAATCCAGACTCCAGCGAGAAACTGTTGAATTGGAATTCATTTGCAAATTGGATACAATTATCTTAGGCTTGAATAGAGACTGGGAGTGGCTAAGTCATTATGCAAGGTAACCTATTTCCCCTTGTTTTTTCCTACCCCCCCCCCAGACGTTCTTGTTAATCCCTGGATTTGTGCTGGAAATGGCCCACCTTGATTATCATACACATTGTAAGGAGAGCGGTCACTTTAGATAAGCTATTACCAGGAGGAGAGTGGGTTTGTCTGTGTGTGTGTGGGGGTGTGTGTGAGAAAACCTGGATTTGTGCTGGAAATGGCCCAACTTGATTATCATACACATTGTAAGGAGAGTGATCACTTTAGATAAGCTATTACCAGCAGGAGAGTGGGGTGGGGGGAGGTATTTTTTCATGCTTTGTGTGTATAAAAAGATCTTCTACACTTTCCACAGTATGCATCCAATGAATTGAGCTGTAGTTCACGAAAGCTTATGCTCAAATAAATTGGTTAGTCTCTAAGGTGCCACAAGTACTCCATTTCTTTTTGACAAACTCTAGTGTCCCCATGCCTTGGAGCACTGACTTGAAATTTGGCAGGGGGTCATCCTGGTGTCAGAGCTGTGGATTTTGCTGTCACCATGAAAATCTGCTCAAATTTGTCCAAGTTATAAGGCTCTAACCAAAAAATTCCACATTCTGCACATGCTCAGTAAAGTCCGGCAGCTAAATTTTCCAGAGATGCTGCCTCACTGAGTATGCTCCATCCCCCTCACAGGTACTATGTGTCAACTGGACTCCACATGTTGCATCCCCCCACAGGAACTGCACATGCTCCACCCTAAGGGTGGAGAACAAGAATTTCCCTGCAGAAGGGGAGGGACCAGCGCCAGAGGATTGTGTGTGTGTGTGTGTGTGTGTGTGTGTGTGTGTGTGTAACATTTCATAGAAAACTCCATGAGGAAATTAATAATTCTGTATTCAGTGCAGGGCTTGGATCCTGCACAGTAAACAACAAATGGGCCCACACACTGAACGGTGAGGATAAAAAGAAATAGTGAATAACTGCTCATTCAGCGAGCACAGTCTGTCCTGTGCACGGAATGAGGCAGGGGTCCTGAAGAAAAAATATGTGATCATGTAATTAAACCTTAATTCTGTCATGTCCTCACTTTTGGGAGCTTGACTTTGCAACCTTAACATTCTTTTAACCATCTTTTGGATGAAATTTCCAATATGTTTATATATATAAAACCTATTTTACCTCAACCTGAATGGATTTTCATGACTCCCACTGAACCTTGTCCAGTTGAATCCAAGGAAACTATGACAAGTGGCTTGGAAAGAAGATGGATAGAAAAACTCGCCCCAGTAAAGTGTGTGTGTATGATATACACAATGTCAGTACTCTAACTTAGTGCTTTTCAAGCTATCTGATGTGGGGGACAGGCATTTTTTTTCCCCAATGTGCGCGCAGACTGGGAGCCGATGGCTCGCGGACCGGTGCCACCACTTTGAGTAGCACGGTTCTAACGTATAGTATCTTGGGCCCTTCCAGGGCCAGGAGCCAGTGCTATATGTTCCATTGGGAAGCTGTGAATCTCCATTTCCCAGTGGGATAAAGCTCCTCTTCCTAGCCCCTGCCAAGCTGTAAGATTTCAGACACTAAGGTTGTGATGTTTTAACATACTGAAATGGGGATGGAGGACTCAATCCTCTCCATCCTGGGACACTGGCTGGGAGGGGAAATTTAGGGGTAAAGAAAGAAACATTTGTCTGTCAGGTTGGCTTAAAAAAATCTCAACTGGGGCTGCTTGCTGGGACTCAGAAGTCTGGAATGTTGGACTAGCACCTAGAGGAGACAGATTGGTGGGCAGAGGGCAGGCAAAGTGCATGATACATCCTATTTATTACGTGTCTCTGTAGTGTATGACGTGGCTACAGTCACCATGCCATGGATATGAGTACACACAGTATTATGCACCTTTCCATAAAACCTATGTACTAAAGACACAAGATAATCCGGTGTTTGAGAAGCACTTCTGACTATCAGCAGGGCTGGAATATACATGCTCTGTACATTCCCCTCAGATCCAGGCCACCGTGTTTCGCAAGCTCTGTGGTTTTTGATGGTTGGTGCTTTTGCCTGCTAGTTTTTATTAACTGAAATTTGGACGGGAAAGGGAATTTAAAATCTGAATGGGGCTTTAGAAAAAAAAAACTTTTAAGGACCTATTTCTGCTGTCCCTAAATCTGTGGAGATCTCACAGAGTCAATGGGAGCTTTACCTGAGTAGGTAGTGCAAGACTGGGCCCTATGTGGGTTTCTAATTGAAACACTTGCAGATGTTGCTATAAAAACTGGTCTTAAGAGAAAAGGGGAGGCAGCTTTGCCCATCCATGGGGACTTCAAGCATACGATGCAAAAAGCAGCTTCGACCATGAGTACACTGGAAAAAAAGGGACTTGTTTCAACTAGACAAAAATGAATGTCATACTATCACAGGGACATTCACCAGAACTAGCAAGAGATTACCCTGCCATTTTACGATTGGTAGCCAGAATAACACCCTGTTAATGATCTGAAAAATTAAGGCCCTCTAATTAGTCTCAATTATAAACTAAGTGTAGTTGGTACTTCCTTCAAGTTAAGCCTCATTGCCATATAAAATTTGGCTTAAGGGATAAGACTTACTCAGGTTTGATCTTCAAGTAGCGCTAGGAGAATTAATTTATTCTCTTCTTTGTCTTTCCTCTATCAGGCTATGAAAAAAGGCACTGATGCACCTCCTGATGTGTCTCACCAGACCTAGTGGAGTTCTGAATCCAGGTGGCCACAGCTGGATGCAACTCCGAGGAATGCAACCAGTAGTTGCAAACAAGAACAATAACTTTAAAGTTATCTAGAAAAGTTCTGTGTGCTCCAAGGGAAAGCAAGGCATTAACAGATCTTTCCATACAATGGGAACACAGTAAAATGTTTTAAAACCACTCAACCAATGGACCAGCAGAGTAATGCTCCTAAGAGAGGGATGAAGGAGCCCAAAATCAGATGGTTCCTAGTATATTAAGGCTTAATCTTGCTTGTCTCACTCATGTAAATACACCCATACTAATTGGGCAAGTAGGATTTGGCAAGTGACTGCACCAGGAGCTGTGAATTCAGCACTCATCAAACTTGGGTGCATAGAGTTATGCACCAAAATAAGTGAAATGATTTTCAGAAGACCTGAACCCTCAACAAAATTCACTGACTTCAAAGGGAGATGTGGATGCGCAGCACCTTTTAATATTAGACCATTTATTTAGGGGCCTTATTACAGATTTAGGTGATTAACTTTTCAGATGAGAGTTATTCACCACTAACCAGGTATGAATTATCCTGAGTTATATTATCTGTTCCAGTGGCATTTAGGATATAGGGAAACTCTCTCAAACAAGGAGAAACTTCCAAACAGAATGAATTTTTAAGGAAGACCACTATAAGTTTTGAAAAAGCGACTTTAGTCTGGAGGGCCCAATGCCAGTGATAAGATGAACTGATTTCAGTACAGCCCTTTGTTAGTGAAGAACTTCTTGGTTTTACCCACGTTGAAGTTCGCTCCTGAAATTTGCTCTCCCCCTTTGAAACAAGAAGAGGCCTATTCTAGAGCCTTGACTGACTCACTGGTTTACATTAAAACAGTAGGAAAGTCAGCAGTCAATCCTACTCAACCTCAAAAAGCCAGGACTGCTGGGGAGGGATTTCAACCAGAAATATGTTAATAATTAAGAAAGCCAAAATGGCATGAGAAATGTAATTCTGAAAATTGCACACCGAGCATTTAGCCAAGTAAAAATCATGTACGTTGAAAGATTCAGCTATTGCTAATCCTTCTAAAGGAGGGAATGCAATGTAAATGGCAAGTGAATGGTTTATTCATAATATGTTGCTTAACCCATTACCCACTGCAAAATTCAGTAAGTACAATGTGACTTTATTCCTGGCAATTAGAATCAGTCAAAAGGCTGTCCAGAGCAAGAGGGTATATTTGTAGAAGACATTTTAAAAAATGGGACAGTGTGCGGGGCTACTCATTACCTCTGGTCCCTGAATCTCAAGGAGAGAGGCTCTGCAAGATGATTTTTCATCTTCTGTTTCCCCTTGGTGCTTATCTGTTACCCTTTGATCCAATCTTCTCCAGTGCAAATGGAGATGAAAGGAAGAAATCCGGAGAGTTTTTGTAATGCAAAGCACTGACATGTACAACATTAGCAAGAGGTTCTGATCACACCGCCTGGTGCTGACCTATATATTCTTTTAAGAATGCCAACACTGTTACTCCATAAAGAAAGACAAAGAGCCATGTTCCTTAATCTAATAAAGACCCCCCCCCTTTTTTTTTTTAGTTTAAAGCAAGTCAAGAGTGTTTCATTGACCCTGTGCAATTAGAGAAAATTAACTGCCACTGAACAGATAGTCAATCTAAAGCCATAGATTCAAGAAAAGACACTGCTCATCGGTGCTGCTCTCTCACGAAAGGACTAATTAGTTGTTGAAACCATTGACATTTCCTTATCATTAAGACATGGCTGGCCACTCAGAGACTTTCCCTATTTGTGGTTCTACTTGAACATGCACTTTAATAATAAATGAAGCAGGAAACAGATGCCAGATCATAAATTCACCTGGAGAAGTGCAGCTGTCAGGACCACCATGTTTTTTGTCACACAGTGAAAGCCTACAGACAAACCCTTCCTTTTAACCATTCACTGGACCAATATTTTGGCATGTTTGTCTTTCTCCATGAACCTCTAATGGTTGGTTACCATTTCTGATTGCTCACAACCATAAAGGATTTTGAAGTCTAAATTTAGTGGTAGAAAAAGCTTTCCTTGAGCTGTTTTTTTTTTCAAATGGGAAACTGACTGTTCTGTGTGGTATCAGCAGCCACCTAGAAGGACATTTGTGTCCAACACAATCACATTTATTGTCCGTTTGTTATATTTATCTGGGAAATGTTCATTGTTTCGGCATCTTATATAGTTACTGCACATTTTGGGACTGCAGTCAGTATTTCTAATTAAAAGTCAATTTGGCCACTACAGCTACAATTTCATAAATTAAATCAGATAATGAATTGTGGCTCTGAGATAGGAACAACTAAGTGTTTTGAATTTGATGTGAAAAACAATTGCACTGGTTTCCTGACAGCGTAACTCCGTTTCCTTCTGATTGACACCAAGATGAGATCAGAATCAGGCTCCAGACTTGTTTTACCAATACAAACAGGCATGTAGGGCCAGATATTCAGTTAGGGTAAATCAATACAATTCCATGAACTTCAATGGAATTTTACTGATTTACACAACTGGAGGACTTGGCCCAAAGACCATAGCATTTTCATATAAAGAAAAATATCTCCCCTTAAGCACCCCCGGGAACATTTCTCACCTAGCGATCAAAATCTAGAAACTTCATACAGAAAACACACTCACCTGCTTGTTACCATATGGATCATATACATTTAATAAAACAAACGCTGCGTAGGGCACCTGCTGTATTGACAGACATGTTTTTTTTCCTCCTGACTGATTACCTGGCTGGGTGGGGTGGGGGATGAGAGATGTTGTGGAGGGGAGGGAGAGAGGAAGGGAACACTGATATAATGTTAACACGAGATCACAGCATCTACAAAGGATGACGCTCCAGACACATTTCCTACCGAAATGACCGGAACGTTCACCCTTCCAGGTATTAACAAAAGATTTGTGACAATGAGTAAAAGATGCAACCTCAAGACAGCATGTTCACGGTGCATTTTTTAAAAAGAACACAAAGACAACAGGAAAAAAGAGGAAGGAAGACCATACCTTTCACTACCTTATCCAGATAGTGAGCTTGGGAGATAAAAGACAGGACATTTAAGGTAGGATTGAATAAGTGCAGTACAGCTTATTATGAGATTGTGCAGGTGCAAAGAAAGGCACAGGAAAGTTTGCTATGATATTAAAAGAAAAAAACTTTTATTGTGTGGAGAGGAGAAAGAAAAGGTGGAACAAAACTATTCTCAATCAAAGAACTGAGGAAGGCTGTGTTCAATCATCCATTTAGTCTGGTTGCAGGGATTCAATAAGCTGAGCAAGAGAAACAGGAAGGTAAAAATAAATGGCAGAACATTGTAAGGTTCTGATCGCTTGCAACAACCCACCTCTGCGATAGGAGAAACAGCATCTTTCTAAAATTCTTCCACCTTGCCTAACAGTATCACATTTTCTTAACAAAGATGTCTTGTTCCCCTGTGGAACTATTGGAATTGGAAAGTCTTTTACTTTTGGATCTCCTTAATGGTAACATATTGCATTTATACAGTCCAAGATCTCAAATTGCTTTCGAAAATTAAACTAACCTCACAACAGCTCTGCAAGGAAGGTAAATATTAATACACCCATTGTAAGGAAAGATAAAGTGAAGTACAGAGACGTTGTGGAGGCACACAGGGCAGTCGTATGCCCAGTTCTCACTGTAAGTCAAAAGAAGTCGAGTGCCTTTGAAAATGGCTACCTAATCGGTCTGCCCAAGGTCACAGAAGAAGTCAGTGGCAGAGGCAAAAATAGAACCCAGAAGTCATGCCTTGCAGCTCTCTGCTCTAGCCAGCAGACCACACTACTTCTCTTAACATCATTTGATCTCTGTTAAAAAAGATGCTTGAGGGAATTTTCTGCTTTTCTCTCTTTTGCTCCCTCTCTCAAACACTTTGCTCCCACAACTGTTGTTAAGTAAGAGCTGTTTCATGTTATTTCTCCAGTTCCAGCACTATTCCTAAGCTCCCTGTGATCTTGCTCTCAGCGGAGTCCTTGCACCCTAAGGGGGAGTTTCTCATTTCAGATCGGTTCATGGAGACCACCCAAGCAGAGGGTCACAAACCTTTAGCAGAATTTCTTTCCCCCACCCTTTGAATCTAGAGTCCTGTGAGTCTAATGGGTTAGTTGAAGCACAAGCCCACTTTTGTACTGAGCTAAGAGGGCCTTAATTCCCAGAGTTAGACACCAATGGACTGTCGTTCACAAATCACTCCCACATAGAAGGACTGAATACATGCAGCACAGCTTTGCTACAAGCCCGGATGGCTGCAGAAGTCCAGGAATGGGCGATTCTGGTTTAAAAATTCAGAGCAGCCCAACATACAAAACCTCGGCCAAAGTTTTGCTTCACAGCTGAAATTTTCAGATGTGAAAATGTTTACAGAGGAAAAAAATTGAGGGAGTTGCCAGGCCAGCTATATCAATTATTTGCAGATGTTACCTTTTAACTTAGATGGTTTGAAGAACAATGCAGCCTCATATGAGTATATCCTGTATGTGGCCCCAAACTTATGCCATACTAGTAGATTCAGATATAAATATTTCTCCCTGTACTCCTATTGTTCCCATGTACATGTTGTGTCATTGGATCACTTGTGGGCATTCCTTTGGAAAGGTGCAAAGGAAATCTGTACAACGGGCATGCAGAATGAGCTTAGGAAATAAAAGGGTTTTGGAGCAATGGGTGCTCTAATATACTATGTGGCCTGCTCCTGTTCTACCTCTCACCCGAGTAAATCAGGTACAGCTTCAATGAAGTCACTGGAGTTAAAATGGTCTAACATAAACGTAAGTGAGAGGGCAGAATGCAGCCCTTATGTGCTTAGCAAGTGGAGATAACATGAGTTTATGCCATAGTGATACTGACAAAGGCTGTGTCAGCCCTTGAAGCTGCCCCATGTTTGGCATCCAATACCAATTACAATTCCCCGCCTCATCTGGGGCCAGCCTGTGTTTAAAGCTGATGCAGAAAGCGTGTTGGAATGAGGCATCAAACACACTTGTGCATTGGGTGCTGACCATGGTTTGATCCTCTCCACGGAAAACACCAAACTGTGTTCAGTTGTGACATTGGTTGTCATACACAGCTCAGTTTCTACTGGAGATAGGGCCAAATACTCTAGCATGCTCAGACATCTGAACACCTATAGTTCTGGTCTGACAGTAGCTTAGAACTTTTACCCCAAAGAGAAGAGAATCCTGGCTTAATGTGTCTTGTTTGGATTCCAGCTGGTCAAGTAGAAACTGAGAGGCACTGATTACAGCCCAGACTGTTCAGAGTGCGTGTGATTGTTTATGCAAAAGCACTGGGGCTGCATTGTGTACGTTCCTTAGTTCTTGTTTTAAGAATTCAGAGTACATAAATTAAGCAATTCTGCAGGATTTAAAGATTCCTGCAGTTAAATAATCAACTTTATGTTCCACCCTCTTGCCTCAATGAAGGAAAGTTGCTGAATTAGGATGATGAACACAAGCTTCTGCATCAATTTCCTGGTTGGGAATTAACTGAGGTTACGCTAATGAAATCTCAGAACGTGAGCAATCAAGCTACTATACTTGGTAATGTAACTCTTTGTATGAGCAAACAAAATTAATCCACTGAGATCACAGTTCCCTGGTAGCATGAGAAAGTGCTTCCTATTTATTCCTTCCCAGTAAATGAGAAAATAAAAGGAGTTCTTACTCTCATATGTGCTCAACAGGAAATGGAAGGAGAAACTTCCTTTACTTGTATCATCCATTTCTACCACTGTTACCTGCACACATGGCAATATTATTAAAGAATTACTTCAGCAATGGGGTTTTATGCTTCTCATTGCTAACGCAGGCTGGGCAACGACATAGACATATAAGGGATTACTGTCAACAGAACAAGTTGCCATGCAGGGAAATTACACAAGGACAACGGGAATGCTTACCACACACTTAATGTAATTCCAAGTCAATGTCCTTTCATCTGTGCCAATATTACTAGCTTATTACTCCTTCACACGCCATTCAGTTTCCTTGGATATTTATGACTTTGTCAAATCTCCTTTACATTCTATACAATTACCAATGAATATTCTGTAGGAAATATGGTTTACAGCTTCAGAGGCATGAGTCTATGTACAAATTTGTTGTTAAACCACAGTGTCTGGGGGGAAGGCGGAGGGGAAAGGAAACTGAATTACTTCTGCACTCAAAATAAGGGATGGTTCCTAAAGCCCAGACAGCACTGCAATGGGAAAGTAGTACTGTATGAAAGTACAGTGGGTGCCATTAAAATCTCGATGCTTGCTGCATTGCAGTGTTTGCCTTTGCCATGATAATGTAGACTCCCTATTCCAAGAATGAGGAGTGCTGCAAACAATACGGTCACTTTAATTAGTGTGAAAGGTAAAACCTGTTTGAAAGCAATCTTGGTCTGTCAGCTGCAGACTGAAATATCACACACTTTCTTTGTATTACTACGAAGAAATTTATATTTTGTTTTTGCATCAGCATTAATAGAATAAGATCCACTGTATGAACTGGGTACTCTTGTGTATGAATACAGCCCAAATTAAATTGTCCTCTGGATTTAGGACATTTCCCTAAATGTAAGTATTTTCCCCAAGGATAATGATGAATTTTTTTTGCTATCCATCACCTCAAAGTCTACAGTTTGGTGAACACAGTGTTGTAAATAGAACTATGAAACAATATTACGTAACCACAGTTCCCCAATTAACACATGGTTGCTTTCCTTTCAGTTTAAAGTCATTTGTGAGAGGGATTTCACCCACTGTTAATGGGAAGAGATGAAAGCTATTAGGCATGTGGAAGAGAAAACAGAATGTAATTTCTAATGAGTCGTGGGGAGTTTTTGAGTGCCAGACATTTTTCTTTAGGAATGTCTGTGAAAACCATAATGTGGTAGAGGGACATTAGCCAGAACTGAGCCACAAACATGGTTTGTTGCATTATCCTATTGCTGGAATTAAAGTATTTGTGATTATTAACTATTATTATTATAACTTCAGTTATTAACTATCTTTGCATGTGTGAATGGTGCCCAGGCTGATAACTTGGATGCTTAGCTATGTTGACAAATGAATGTAAGAATAACTGATAAAAAACAGAGGGCCAAATTCTGCACTTGGTGACACTAGTGTAAATCTGGAGTGACTCCTTGGGCATCAGCTGAGCTATGCCAGATCCACTCTGGTGTCACTGAGACCCATTAGTGAATCTAAGTGTAGGCTGGATACTACTAATGTTAGCAGTTGTGTGACTTGGACAGGTTGTGTAGGCAACTCCACTGAACTGGGATCAAATGGGCAAAGTTGTGATACTCAGAAGAAAAGGCAAGGTGCAGCAGGGAGTAAACTTAACTCAGATGAAGAGGCAGCGTAAATCTGAACCATGTTATTAATGAGCATACAGATGTCTTAAGGCAGGGACAGTGCCACTTTCTATAATGTTAAGCAGATTGATGGTACCTTATAAATAATAGTGATCTGTGCACCACAAGTTCAGCGCTTAAGGTAACTGCCAGGTGCATTAGATGTACGAAGATGGTGAGAAAGAAAAGTGAGATGCCTAGAGAGACAGCAAGGCAGAGAGAGAATTAGCAAGACAGCTTTGAAAATCAGCGAGAAATTTTCTGAATATAATTCTCCGTGTCACTGTGCAAATAATGGCGTGAGTCAGGGTAAAAGAAACTTAAAATAGGCTGCATGTTTCTGAATAAGCTGATATCACAGTACAGAGGAGTCTTGGAGGTCAACGAAAAGACCTTTTTCAAGAGTCAATTTTTGAAGCATCTAGGTAAGGTTTGACAGCTTGTGTCTGACAGATCAAACACTATATATGTATATTTCACTTCTGATAGTAAAATATATATATCTAACCGGGTCATCACCAAATGAAAGGACATTTTGTCTTGTTCCCAGATGAAAATGTATGATGTCAGAACTTGAAATCCAAGAACAAAGGTGCTCATGCTACACTAAATCACATAGATTCAATTAAGCATGCTTCTTTTCTCCCCCATCCTCTCCCTGTTCCTCAATTATTCTTTTAAAATTATTTTCCCCCTACCAATAGTGCAGTGCTCTCCATTCCAGCCCGGGCTGCATTCACACTTGCCATCCCGACATGTCCCATGCTCATTGCAGCGTGGGTGACACGCCCGCTGATCACAGGCTGCGCCCATCCATCCCTCCTCGCAGCGGCAGGTGCCTCCGACACAGATGCCGTGCCCTCCGCAATCCGCTGCACAAATCTCTGTGGGAGAGGAGAAAAGAGAGAGGGTGGGGTCGGGGGAGAAATCCAGAATGTTATTGTTAACAAAGCAGCCACACTTCACTACCTCGCCTTACAGGGAATGAAAGGAATTCCTGCCGCTCATAACACTAATCCTTTCTGACAATAAGAATCTAATAAATAGATTAGAAAAAAGAGACGGACATGGATTGCAGAGGTCTGCTGCGATTGATCCTCCTCTTTGCTTTCAAATTCTATCACACTCCTCAAGCTTTTGTGCTGACCACATCCAAAGGGAAAGGCTCTTCCAACAAACGGAACAAAAGTCAAATTTAATTAAAAACTGGTTAAGTGTGAAAACAATGCACTGATAAATCACCAATGATAAAGTTAAGTGCTGGCAAAGTTTATTTGCAGCTTGTTATCCCATGATGCAGGAGCTGAGATTCATTAAATCACCTCTTTTAGTTTTGGTTAACGTTAATAAAGAACATTTTTATTAGGTTTTCTCTGTGGGTGAAGCCAGGACTCTGTTTTACCGCTCCCTCATTAAAAATCCTCTTCCGGGCACTGAGGGGCCTATACTCTTATCTGATGAGATTTATGGTCTGCTGCTTGCGGGGCTGCTATGTGTCCTCAACTCTCCCTGATGTCACTGGAAGCTGAGGATGCTCAATACCTTGGCACTCGTCTCCTGGCAGGATCAGACCCTGCAGGCCTTATCTGTAGATGTGCTAGGTGCCCACAGATCTCTGGTGAGACTGTGGGGTGCTTGGCATCGCTGAAAATCTGGCCCTAAAATCCTAAAACCTGGCCCTTTCATCTACATCTTATTTTATTATTGGTCTGGAGAAAAAGGGCTGGAGGGGACCAGATATCCATGACACAGATGGTAAGTGCCTATTTCTGCTGTTATCATTGGACACTGGCTCACAGGAAAACAAACCCCAAAGTGGTGTTACGCAGCAAATGAAATGACATGCCTCCATTGCTGCTTCACTGGACTCCAGACTGGTCAGCTGACTTCTTCCCTTCGATCTGTGTAACACAAACCTAACGACACTCTCCCCCTTTCAAGCCACATGTGAGTTCAAACACCTTGACTTCTTCTCAGACTAATGACTCCCTCTACTCCCTGGCAGTTCCGCACAGCACATATGAACGGGGCCGAATCTGCCCAGCAGTTCAGTATTTAATCCCCCTTAGCTGCCGTCCGTTTCTAGGGACACGACTCTCTCTGCTATAACCCTCACGGGGGGGTGGGGGGGAGAGGAAGGAGGGCATAGGGAGAGGGGACAGGAACATTTTTCCTTTCAGTGCGCCTGTGCAGAGCTGGGCAGAATTCTAGCCAAGTACTCGACAGGCAGGGCAGTGGCGAATGTACCAGCTAGCAGGCCACAGCTGAGTGGGGAAGGATCAGCTTGCTTGGGGTGTTAAGAGGCCCCCACAGCCCTAAGCATGTATGCTGCTAGCAGGCACGAGGAACTGTGCATGACACTCTCATGTTAAGGTGCAGTAAGGTGCTCTACGGAGCACATTTCCCCTCCCACTCCTCACGCCATCCTGTTATGTCCCACCAGCGTGGCTAAGGAGCCCAGGATGGCTTCAGTCTCTCCCCTTTTGTGTGTCTCAGTATATTAGGGGCAGGATTTAGTCCTAGAAGTTTGTGGGTGAAGAAGGGGTTGGTATCAGATGAAACATTTGCTTCAGGTCACTGACTGCACATAAAAAATTCAGGACTACTCAGCCTGCATTAACATCACACCTGACTGAAATTCACCCTTATATAAGCTTGCCTTAGTCTTTTTCTAATTAATATGGCCAGTGACAGGGATCTTCAGATATACAGAGACTTTGAGGTGCTTCTGCTATGCTTGGTGGGGCTGCTGAGTTCATTTTGATTTGGAGAGGGAGATTTGGTGTGTCCATAAAGCCAGTCAGCAGGGGTTTTACGACCTTACAATTAAATGGACCCTTTCCTTCAAGGCACTCAAAGCTCTTTACAGAGAGTAATTACTGTAAGAAATAATAATACTTAGCCCTTGTAGAACACACCTCATTCACAAAGTGCCTTACAAACTTTCTAGCTGCTTGCCACATACTACAATTTATGTGTTTGCAATTGTAAGAACATAAGTATATAAGAACAACCATACTGGGTTAGACCAATGGTCCATCAAGCCCACTATTCTGTCTTCTGAAAGCGGCCAGTGCCAGATGCTTCAGAGGAAATGAACAGAGCAGAGCAATTTATCAAGTGATCCACCTTGGATTTCCAATTTTGGTTGGATGTATTCCTGAAGATTTCATCACGTGACATAATTTTTAATTAAATATTAAATCTTTAATTCCTGGAGACTCCAGGCCAATCCTAGAGGGTTGGAAACCCACGATCCATCCCTTCTCCTCCAGCCAATTCCCTTCATTTCTGTCCTTGAACTCTTTCTGCTGAATCATGCAGCATTCAATTTCTAATAATGTACTTGGACTACCATTTTCAGAAGCACTGAAGTGACTCATGACCTTAAGTGCCATTTTCAAAAGTGACTTAGGGACAGATTTTCAGAAGTATTTAGGAGCCTAACGATGCAGGTAGGTGGCTAGTGGTGCTTAGGTGCTTTTGAAAACCCCACCAGGAGCCTATCTGTATTTGTAGGTGCCTAAATATCTTTAAAATCTGGCCCTCAGGAGTCAATGGAACACAGGCTCCAAAGTGCCAAAGGCCCAGATTTTTAAAGGTTTGTAGGTTCCTGAGTCACTTGTGTTTTTGAAAGTTTTACCCTTTGTTTCTGGAATTAACAAATTGATTCTCTCAACTCTCATGTGGGATTGTGAGTATTGTCACGCCACAGTGCACACTGGGAAAACGAGGCACAGACCAGTTAAGTGATGCCCCTCAGATCAGTAGGATAGCTGGGAACAGAACCCAGCAATCCTTATTTCCTGCCCGCTGCTCTAATCAGCAGACTACACAGTCACGGAACTAGGCCTATTGGGGTATCATGTGATTGCATTCGATGTTCAAATTAACTCATGTAGGAGTCAAGCTGAGCACCTGCACTGAAAAAAGTTGGCTCTCTTTGGCTGACCTGTGAGACGATAAGTCTGGGAGAAAATAAAGTAAACAGAGTAAAAACTAAACACTTTATGGCAAAGACCCCGTAACCAGAGGAGAAGAAATGCCTTGAGATTGAAGAAGTTCAAGACTTTTTGCATTTAAGTCCAGGGCTCCGTGTGCTGCCCCCACCACGAGCACCAGACAATGGAACCTAGGGGTGGGAGGAGCAGTGCCTGCGGGCGAGAGCAGAGCACAGAGCCGCCTGGCCCCCCAAACTAGGAGCCGGATCTGCTCACCGCTTCAGGGGCTCAGTGTGAAGCCAAGTCAGGCAGGAAACCTACCTTAGCCCCACTGTGCCACTGACTGGGAGGCACTCGAGGTAAGCCCATGCCCTAACCCCCTGCCCCAGCCCTGAGTCCCCTGCCCCCCTCCTGTACCCCAAACCTCTCATCCCTGTCCCCACCCCAGAGCCCACAACCCCAGCCAGAGCTCTCACCCCCCCATACCCCAGCCCCCTGTCCCAGCCCAGAGCCCCCTCCCACACCCTGAACCCCTCACCCCAGCCCCACAAAAGAGCCCACACCTCCACCCCGGAGCCCATACCTCCTCCTGTACCCCAACCCCCTGCCTCAACCCGTAGCACGATCCTGCCCTCCAAATTCCTCGGCCTCAGCCCCAGCCTGGAGCCCCCGCCTGCACCCCAAACCCTTCATCCCCGGCCCCACCCCAGAGCCTGCACCCCCATTCCAGAGCCGGTACCCCCTCCCAGATTCTGAATCCCTCTGCCCCACCCCCTAGCCTGAAGCCCACTCCTGCACCCCAAACCCCTCATCCCCAGTCCCACCCCAGAGCCCGCACCCCGAACCGGAGCCCTCACCCCCTTCCGCACCCCAAATCCCTGCCCTAGCCTGGAGCCCCTTCCTGGACCCTGAACCCCTCATTTCTGGCCCCACCCTGGAGCCCACACTCCCAGTTAGAGCCTCCCCCCACCCCAACCCTCTGCGCTAGCCCAGGGAAAGTGAGTGAAGGTGGAGGAGAGTGAGCCACCGAGGGAGGGGGAATGTAGTGAGCAGGGGGCGGGGCCTCAGGGAAGTGGGGCGCTAGGGTGTTTGGTTTTGTGCAGTTAGAAAATTGGCAACCCTATCTGTACCTAGGCTCCCCATCTGTAAAAGGGGGACAACAGCATCTCCCTATCTCATAGAGGTGTTGTGAGGATAAAATCCATTAACAGGTTCAGAGACTCATAGACTTTAAGGCCAGAAGGGACCATCATGATATTCTAGTCTAGCTTCCTTCACATTGCACCGACAGAACCTCACCCACCCTCTCCTGTTATAGGCCCATAACCTCTGGCTGAGTTACCAAAGCTCTCAAACCTTGATCTAAAGACTTCAAGTTACAGAGAATCCACCTTTACTCTAGTTCAAACTAGCAACTGACCCGTGCCCCATGCTGCAGAGGAAGGTTAGGTGCTCAAATGTTATGGTAATAGAAGGCCAGTTAAGTACCCAGAGAGAGAGAGAGAATGAGATATTCAGCATCTTATAGGATTGAGTCTTTTGTTACTGCAATGAGCTATATAAACATCCGCACAATAATACTTTGCACATATATTGAGCCTGCTATCCAAGCATCTCAAAACACTTTAACAAATGTTAGTGGGTTACAGTCTGATGACATTCCTTTGTGGGGTAAGTAGGCATCACCTTCATTTTCACAGACAAGGAAAATTGAGACAAAGAGAAGCTAAATGACTTGCACAGGGACATACAAGAAATCAGTGGCAGAGATGGAAAGAGAACCCAGATCTCCTGACATCCTACCCTGTTCTCTATCTACAAGACTGGGAGAAAGGAACCCTTAGCAGGTCATATTTCTACAGAAAAGCTGAGAAGAAATGAAAGTGGGGACAAAAGGAGGCTATTATGAATCCATCTTGAGAAACTGATGAGTTATTTAAATG